CACTAGTCCCTCTGTCCCAATTTATATCCGGGTAATTAAAATCTCCAATAATTAAAGTGTTACCCAGATTTGCAGCTTTCTCAATTTGCTCAAACAGCTGTTGTTCCTCGCCAATATTAACATTAGGTGGTTTATAACATATCCCAACCAATAGTTGGTTTCCCTTCTTTTCCCCCAAGCAGATATTTACCTATAAAGCTTCCACATTATCCTCCTCGCATTCCATTTGCTTAACATTTGGCTTTAAATCATGTTTGACATACAAACATACCCCACCACCCTTCTTGTTTTTCCTATTCTTCCTAAATAACATGTACCCATTTAAGTTAGCTGCCCAGTCATGTGTCTCATCCCACCATGTTTCAGTTATGCCTATTATATCATATTGTTTAGTGTATGCTAATGCCTCTAGTTCCCCCATTTTGTTATTTAGGCTCCTTGCATTAGTAAGCATACAATTAATATTATGCGTCACTTGTATATTTTGTGAATTTTCAACATTACACAGCTTCTCTGTTCTGAGTTTGCCCCTCCCCCCGTTTCTACCCCCCTTATACTGTGCTAAAGCCCATCTCCTTTCTGTCCTATCTCCATTTTGTAGATTGCTATGACCCTCCCCCCTACTACTAGTTTAAAATCTCCTCCAACCTTCTAGCCATCCTATCCCCCAGCACTGCAGACCCTCTCCCGTTTAGGTGCAATCCATCACCACTATAAAGGTTGTACCCAATCGCAAAGTCGGCCCAGTGCTCTAAAACCCAAAACCCTCCTTCCTGCACCAAGACTTAAGCCACGCATTGACCTCTCTAATCTCCCGCTGCCTTTCCACTGTAGCGCGTGGCACAGGTAATATCTCAGAGAATACCACGTTGGAGGTCCTTTTAAGTTTGCTACCTAATTCCCTGAAATCATTCTTTAGGACCTTCCATCTTCCTCTTACTTTGTCATTGGTACCAACATGGACCATGACCGCTGGGTCATCCCCAGCCCCTCCCAATAATCCATCCACTCTGTCAGCAACATGCCGGACCCGAGCACCCGGGAGACAGCAACTGTCCGGTTGAGCCGATCAGAGTGGCAGATTGCCCTATCTGCTCTCCTAATGATAGAGTCCCCTACCACCACAACCTGTCTTGCCTTCCTTACATTTTGATCCCCACCCGTACTAGGGGGGCTGTTACCTCGGCTGTTAGAAGTACCAGCTTCCTCTAATACAGCTACTCCTGAGCTGATGCTCCCAACATCTTCACTCAAATGGGCAAATCTGCTAGGTTGCACCAAATCAGGACTAGCTAGCCCTTTCCTCTTCCCTCCCCCTGCTTCCTCGCCCCACTGTCACCCAACTACAT